AATTCACGAGTTAAAAAGGCAAAAGAATAATATTTACCTGGCAATAAACTTGATATAAGAGAGGTTTTCCAATAACACAAACGAGCTCCATTTTCTGAGAAGAGAGTTAAGCGAACTCAGTGCCACCCGACATTGGATTGCACTGGATCTGTCATTTTCCTTCGGAAGATGAAGATTCTTTGGCAAAGGGCTGCAAATAAAGGTAAGTTTTCATTTGCTGTGTTTTCCCAGAATGACGACCTTCCTTTCTCGATCAAGTGTCGTAAATTCAAACCCTAACTTATTACTAGTTGACTGTTCCTGGGTTAGGGAGGGGTAGATTGAGAAACTGCACACCCACCCCTCCCCTAACCGAACATTAACCATAAGTTATTATCAGTTGATTGTTCCTGAGTTAGGGGAGGGGTAGGTGCTCGGCTGCTCAGATACTGACATAGATCAAAATTATCCATCACACTCACACATCATGTTCCAGTACAAGTCCAATTCTGTGACTATGCATCCATTTTTGCCTAGAAGAAAAATTCATCTTTATTAAAAGATACACGTAATTTGGTTTAATCGACTGAGTTGATGTAAATTGGCCACCGTAAAGAGTTTCTAAAGCAGATATTTCGATCGTTAGCCCTTTGTCAGAGCAACGGGCGAAGAGCTAACACTCGAAACGCGCCTGGTTAGAAAGAGTCCATTGCGAGTTCGGTGATTTGCCAATCAAGAACGCAACAAAAAGACTGGGCCTGTGCTTCAACCCAAAATTCTATCCATAACCTGGTGTTGTAACCAAAAGTAAAGTAAGCACACCCTCTACAAAAGAGGTGACTACAGTCTGTATATAAATATACCTACCATCCAGTCGTATCAAGAGATAACACTGGCTTCCAGAAGACAGCAAATTGGGACTCTTGTGATTTGGAATTCTCTCTGAAATCATTTAATTGTGAAAACTTAGGAAAGCCTTTTTTGATTAAAAAGGTTTCTTCATAGCTTTTCCTTGTTCTTACACAAAACTACTTTACCAGTACCGCAGCACAGAACAAAAAGGGCAGTTGCAAATAAAGTGGTATTAATAATAATAATCATAATAAATAAGATATATTACTAAATAGCCATACTCTTAGTTATAAATTAGCTATGATTAATCCAAATGAATCAAATTACTTCACTAGTTTCATAGACAGCTAACTCAGGAACTTTAAGTAAAAGATTGAAACAAGAGGAAATGAAATATAGGAAGCACTTTTAAATTACCTTTCAAGTTGTAGGGACAAAACCTAAAATGAAACCAAGTTAACAGTAAGAATTACACACATGTAAAAAACCCTGATATTTCTCATAATGCAACTGTACCATTACATGATACCAGTAGTTGAATTATACAAGAACATCAGAGACACCCTCAGTTGTGCCTTGTGTGCCACTTTTTGGTTGTTACTGCATTTTGACGTCACCTGTGGTCTTTTACTGAACACACACAAGGTAACATCGAGTCTATTTGTCAAACATTGAACATATAAACACAATTGGGAAGTTGCTTTTTAAACACAAAGGTGTGCTATAAAAGACAAGGTGCCTTAGGTACTTAGTTGTCAATCAACTGTTGTGGCCTACAGACCTCTAAATTCAAAACAGCCTGAGCTGCAGCCAATCCAAAGCAAGTGAATAGCACGTGGATTTCTCAAAAGCTCTTATTAGTTTCAACATTCTCATCACAATTGAAGAAATTGCTGAGGTTTGTATCTCCTTCCTTCAATCGAAACTCTCTTCATATAATTTGTGGTGGTAATTTGAAATTCAAAATGATTCACTTTGCCTTTGCATCATATTGGGTGTAATTTGCGTTTGATCCAAAATCAAGGGGCGGAGTCAACCAACTTATAGTGAGCCTTCATGTTTAAAGTTTATTATTTGATACTTACAGGGTTGTTAGAGCTTGGTGGTAGGTAGAATAGTGGAACTCCCTTTTTTGCACTCTCTGGTATGGTGTAATAAATGGAATTGGATGAAAAGGACTGGAGATGAACAAGCATCTTATCTGTGCTCTTTAAACTGAAAAAAGGAAAACATTGCATTACAATACAATGTATCATGTTTAAAAGCCACAAAAAAATAATTTCAAGAAAATGCATTATACTTGGATGATGATTTACCTTTTCATGGATTGCCTGAATCTTTTGACAACAAGTGTTCTGAAAAGGTTGAATTTATTAAAATCATGTATTAATTTTGTTTAGCCAAGTATGCATACATACCTGTAAATTTAAGTTAACTACTCTCTTCTTGGTTCTGAAGGCTAACAGCTACAGTGTAAGTTAGTTAAAGCCATGGATGGTATGTACATGTATGTAGTTGTTCCCATCTTTCCTGGTCAATAGAGCAGGACAAGACAACACTAGGCAATTAACTTTCAGTGAAGAAGGTAATATCATTATAAAGACCAGGAGGAACAGGGAACAGGAAACAGGAACAGGAACAGGGAAGAAAAAGGAACAAGGAGGGTTTTGGATAAAAAAAATTAAAAATTTCCACTCTAACATTATAAGCGTTGTGTCCTAGATAGTAAGGAAAGGGATCAATTCATACAAAAGTTACCTGTAAGTACTTGGAAAGGGCTTTGTAGAATGCATCACATCATGAAGAAAATCATAAGGTGCTTCTATTGTCACTTCTACATGTGTCACACAACTGAAAGAAAAAGCATTAGCTGTCACTTCTTTTCATGATGGCTGAGCAAAGAGCCTAAACCCTATAGAAATAGTGTCATAGTGAAATTCAGGGAATTACAGATAGTTCTGCCCAACTTGACTTATTTTGTACTGGCTTTACCATCCCTAGGTCAAATACACTTTATTTTCTATAATTTTTGGCAGTATAAATTCCACGAAATCGTCACATCTCTACCAACTATACATAAAAGATAATTTGGTTTGATCATCTGTGTTGATAATGTAGTTTTCATTGGCCATTGTAAAGAGTTTTTAAAGCTTACAATTTGAGCATTAGCCCTTCGGTATTTTCTCCGATGACTAGCTAATTAAGTTGATAAAACCAAATTATTAAATGTAATACCCCCTCCAACACAGTATCACAGTTTCTTTTCATTATAAACCTAACCCCTTCACATATGCTTATACATATGCATACAAATTTATCAAGAGCTACAATCAGCATCAAAATTAGTTGACACATCATGTTTGAAGAACTCTATTTATGCATTGAATAACACTCCTGTTTTTACCACACTCTAAATCATTGACAAAACCCCCCTCCCCTATTCATTGTTGCCTGTATGTAGCTGAAGGTTCCTAGAATCATGATACAACATTGTTTTGGGGAAAAAGGGGTGGATAGGTTAACTAAACAAGAGCAACAGATATAAAATTGAAGTAATAGGGGGTTAAAAGGTCAATGTGTCAATAATTTTGTTGCCAATTGTAGGTTCATAAATAGCCTGTATGGTGTAAGTAAATATAGTGTTGTGTATATGTTGTGGTTCAATTTTATCCTTGGTTCAAAGTTTCTTTTCGTTTGTTTTTGGGTATTGTAAAGTATGTTAATGAGTTTGAAACAAAGGAAAATAAAATTTGAACCAAGGATAAAATTGAACTACAACATATATATGATTTATTATGCTGTACACTGCATTTACTAACCTACTAGTGGATAGGGGCCAAACCTGTTGAAATAGCAAAAACAAAAAAAAAAATTAAAAGAGGCAAGAGCATCGCTGCACTTTAATATGCACTGGAGAATTGAAATAACAAACATGCATGAACATGGAGCTACCATACTGCCATTAAAGAGAAAACAATATCATTACCTTACAGTTAAATACATCAAAGAAAAAAATCTGTTTACTTACTGAGAGAGCTAAATACTCAATCTGGACATTATGCTTCCAAGGAATTGTTAGCTTGACTTGAAGCTGCTTTCCACCTTGTTAAAGGAGAGTTTTATTGAATTACATAACATATGTGAAGACCCAATGGCAATAGCATAGGTACCCCAGTAAATATACATGTAGACAGAACACAGAAGACATGTCTTCTCTGTTTTCATGTCATTTGTTTGAGAATTATCAATCAGTAAAAAATGACAAACCTCCACCCTTTGAGCCCCAAGAGTGATTAAAATCTAAATTCTCTTCACAATACCACCCCTAAATCACACATTAAGGTGGCAAGAATAAGTGAAATGATCATCAACTAACGAAGATCCCGATTGTTAATTAGCTCTTCTTGTCAGCACCTTAGAAAATGTATCAAGAATATGCATACTGATGTTAGGGTGTAAATGATTAATTGACCCATCTTCATATAAAATGTAAATACCTTTTGCTATGGAAACGTCCTGAATTGAATACCCTTCTCTGAGACGCACACTGAGAACACTAGACACGAGAAAAAGAAGAAGTTGTTCAAGTTTTATCTACCCCATGCATTGCATCTAATTATTTTCCTTGTTGTGGCTAAGAACTTGGGCTGCCAGCTGAAATTTCAAGTGATAACCTTCAATACTGAACAATTGTAAGTGCCTAACTTCATTTGGAGAACTCTACCATGACTAGTCATAAGTGCAGGACTCACACCCTCACCTTGTGATGCTAGTATGTAACTTTGTCTCCAGATGTCTTATTCGCATTGATGGTTGCATGGCATTTTTCTCCCACTCACTCAGTGCATAAGATATTGATCTACAATGAAAATATTAACAACATTTAAGTTTTAAAAAAAAAAAATTAAAATCATTGTACAGGCCTGAACAGTTTGTAATTGTGTTTTTTTTCCCAATCCACCTTCCCTTCGTTTTCCTTGAACTGATCAAATTAACACTGATGGGAGACTGACGCAAGGACTTGTGGCTTGATAACTGGGATTTGCCAACCATGGAGGGAGAATTCTATCTGAAGGGCTAGTTGGACGCAATAGAGGTTCTTATATACCCCAGGTACCTTCCCTCCCTTTAATTAACTCTTGAAATCCCAGAGGTGATTAACATGTAACTTCCTCCTTTGCTATTCATACATAATCCTGCAAACGGGTAATGAGAATACTCGAATGTATCAGGGAGAAGTTTTTATCCTGATCTAACACCAAATTTGCATGACTAATTTACAAGGAAATGTGTAGCAGCTGGAGGGGAGAATTAACCCTTTAACTCCCATGAGTGACCAAGACAGAAATTCTCCTTACAATATTAATACAACATCATGCAGACAAGTGATGAGAATAAAGAAAAATCTTGATTAGGGGATGATTAGTTGATCCATTACCAAATTCTTCAAACTAACATCACAAGAAC